GCCAATATCCTGCATTGAGAAGTCTCTGTTTATCGTCTTTCTCTACATCAGATCATCTTGAAAAGACTGCCTGACAATACAAAGATTGACAGGAGATGATCGTGAGTCATCTTTTATGGGTTTACAGTGTTCCACCATGTCAAGGTCCTCCACGCAGAGCCTAATTTCGAGAGCAACACCAAACACTGACCTTGACTGAGGGAGTCTCCACAGGATAGACTGTGATATCTTGAACCTCCAGAAATTTGTAGCAAAGCAGGCCATATTCACTCTTATTCAGATGTATTTCAAGTTTCGCCTACTGACCAGAACTTTGTTAGCAATTGTGAGATTCTTTGAATGCTTGGATTGGCCATCAAGTGGCTATTTTAGAAAGCCTCTCATTCAGGTCAAAACTGAGCTGTTCATATTTTTCAAGGGTAGCTTTCAAACTTTTTATGTCCTCATTCAAATGTGTGCCAAGTCTGCTTACAGCTGCAAGACTACTAGATAAAGATGGTTTGTTGGCTTGTTATAAGCTGCTTTTAGCTGGAGTTCTTGGATTCTCACTAACTGGGCCAGTCTTTTTTTTCCTAATCACACTTAGACTGAGTGAAGATTTTTTATGAGCCTTTAGTCTCTATATGCTTACACTGAAGATTGCAGCAGCTGTTATGAAAAATTAACTGCCTGCCACTCATATTGGTTTTTTAATTAATGTGATATCAGATCTTTGTCTGCCACATTATTTAATATTGCACTTAATAATGTGTTGAAAAAACTGAATTCACCTGGTTGCATACTTAACTCAATGGTGCAAATATGTGCTTATGCAGACGATATATGCCTAATTACCAGGAATTTAAGATTAACAAAAGAAATCTTTGGAATATTGAAAGCCGTAGGTGAAAATGTTGGGCTGGAAATCAATCAAGATAAGACAAAATACATGTATGTCGAAGCCGACAATGAGGCTGGTTCACAGAGCATTGAAATATTGTGGTCTTACCTTTGAATTTGTCAAAAAATTCACATACTGGGGGTGGAAGTGAATTCTGAAAATAAAATTGCTGCTGAGGTGTACAAGAGGATCATGACAATTTTTTCGATCATCGCTCCTGTCACGAGAAACAAAGATAAGACTATATAAGACTTTAGTAAGACCTATTGTGACTTATGCAGCGGAGACATGGACCCTTTGTTTTAGCACAATTAGTATGATGAATATTTTTGAAAGAAAAATATTGAGAAAAATTTATGGAGCTGTTTGTGAAGAGGGTGTGTGGAGATATAGAAAAAATGTGGAGCTATATGAATTATATAACAGCCCCAACATAGTTAATTTCGTTAAAATTAGGCGTATGGAATGGTTAGGCCACCTGGTTAGAATGGACCACAGCAGGATGCCTTATAGGGCATTGTTCTCTACCTTGTATGGCACAAAAAGAAGGGGAAGTCCAAGAAAAAGATGGCTACAAGATGTTGAGAGCGGCCTTAGAACACTGGGCGTGAGAAATTGGAAGGAAAGAGCGAGCAATAGGGATGATTGGCATGCTATGATTCAGGAAGCCAAGGCCCACCCTGGCCTGTAGAGCTACATAGTAAGTAAGTAAGTAAGATATCAGATCACCTTCATTCACTTCACTCTACCATTTGCACTTCATTGCAGATTCATGGGGAAGGTCTTTCAGGTTGAAGCTCCTCTTCCCCCCTCAAAAAAATAATTTTTTTTATTGATTCATATTTGTTTCAATGAGTTATCTGAGCCAAATACTTAAATAATAATAATAGCTTATCTTTTTAAATTACAATATACATACTTTAACTACTAAATGCAAATACTGGTCAAGAAAAAAATAAATATTTTAGCCCTAAAAGCATTACTGTTATTTTAAAAAAAATTAATTAAAAATAGTTTAGCTCCCAAAAATTAAATTCTGATTTCATTACTGTTAAGGGATCAACCAATCACTCTACAGCCCATAGCACAAATCTATTCTGAAAATCTAAAAACTGAACTTTTCTTTTCTAATTTATAGGAAATTTATTATGAATGTAGCTGCATGGAATTCATAGTCTATTATATAGCTATAAACAAAATAAAAAAATAGCAAAATAACGAAGAGAGGAAATTAAGAAAGTTAGTTACAGAAGAGAGGTTGGCAGGTTGCGATCTTGGCATGTTGTAGTGCCTATATTTATATTATGTTATGCTAATGCAGTATTATCAACATTTTTGCTATTTGTACAATTCTTATTGTCTTTATTAATTCTAGTGCTTAACATTTTTGATGTTTCTACTTTGGAAATTTTGACAATTTAATTTTTTAATGACATGTTGATATTTTCTATTTTTTACTTCAGATCGCATAGATTATTTACTTTATTATTATTATATAAACATAGTTTTATATCCGGAAGATAGTATTTTAATATTTATTAACGTTTAAATTTTTTGAATTTTTATTTATATAATGAAATATTACATCTTGAAATATTTTCTCAGACATTTATTATTTATTTTCCATTTTGTGCCGTTTTGGTTATTAAATGGAGTTTTCCTCTTTTTATTTATGTCTAGATAAAAGTGGCATTTTTCTATGTATGAATAGTATAACCATTTATATTCGGTTTATTATTGACAGCTATTACTTTATAAAATCTAAAGTTTTTAAAATAGGATAAAATAATTGTTATGGATTGTGAATGCCAAAGTGATATATGTAGTTATGGATATATCAACAAATTAATATGAGAGATGTGTAAAAATAAGTTAATAAATAATGTTTCTAGTAATTCTATAAAAATAGGATAATTTAAAAGTGTATATTGTAATTGTACCAATCAGTTTGTAATCTGAAGTAAACCATTGCAGTTTGTTCCTAAGTGTGGGAAATTCTTCTCAAAACATTGAAAGTTCAAGATGGAATGAGTATTATTTCACACAGTAAATGATGGCAAATTTCCGCATGTCCAAGCAATTCTTTCCGGTTTTAAAGTTTTACCCACTTCTACAGTCCCTCCAAACAAAGTTATGATGTTAAAATTTTGTATTTTAAATTTGGTTGCTGTAAGAGAAGTGCTTTTTGGTGATCTCAACTTTCTTTTCCCATCTCACCATTTTTCATGTGATTTTTATGATTTTATGCACTTCTACAGTCCCACCAAATTCAGTTAGAGGATTGAAAATGTGTGTGTAAGTTGAGTTGATTATGTAGAAGTACGTTTTGGCTTCATCTTTGTTCTACCATCCATAACTAAACCAATTGAATTTTAGAACTAAAAAAAAAAAGAACTACGGAATATATTTACCATACATATTAGCATTAAATTATTCTATTGTCGGTACTTTATACGAAAAAAATGCCTTAAATAAATTTATGGCATTATAAAACTTATTTGTAAAAACAATAAATATCTATAATTGAGTTTTTTTTTAATTAGGAAAAAAGGACAATTTTATTAAAAAATTAGCAAGTTAGAAATGGAAAACATGGCCACCCTATACTTGAAGCAATTCTGCAATAAGCAATAAATTTACATTAAAAAAAAATGAATTTACTGCAAAGAAATAAAAAATAATGACGATTAATAACAATCATTCACAAATAGTTTTGAGGCTTTTGACTTATCATACGATCAGGGCCATAATGTATATACTTTCCCACTGTACATATTTATGTGGGAGAAATTTAAATATTGCTTCTGTATTCGTATGAAAAAAGGGAAGTTACTGTATAAATGAAATAGTCAGCTTTTTATAAGCATTTACATTTTATGGAGTGAACGTATATTTGTTTTGAGATTTTTTTCAAATTAAAAAGCTTTTACTTATTAAAAATTCTGTGATGATTTGGTTTGATTTAGTCGAATTTATTATGAAATTATTTATAGGAAACTGATTCATTGTTTCCTAAATGCTTTAAATTTTAAAAACCAAATGTTTAAAAACTGGTATATATTTTCTTAGCCAAATTATCATTGGAATAATTGCTTATATATCTATTGAAATAGAAACATAATATTCTTTCCTGCCCATGGATAAAAAAGGATAAGAGGAATCTATTATAGACTAAGGAATATTGCAAAATAACGTTGAGGCCATGGTAGGTTAGCGTGTTAAGGCATCCTCGTCATTTCGAAATCTGTTGAAATTTATTTCCTGACAGATTTGCAGAATGAATCTCGATCTTCTATAGGTCACAAACTCTTGGAATAGATAAATGATTTATAGGACAACTTGTTTTTTCTATTCTATTCTATTTGGAGTACATTAAGACATTAGGGCTAACGAAGTAACATTGAGCTATTAAGGTTATCAATTACCATTCAATAATCCGTTTCAAAACACCTGAGTACAATGAGCACTTTACATTATGACATGTCTACAATAATAACCAACTTATTTATTTTTATATCATTCTTTTAAGATTTCATATTATTTTGTACTTGTATTTCACAATGTTTTCAATTATTGACATAAAGGGCGATTTAATATATCGGTAAGGGAAAATGGGAGCTTTTAAATATTGGTGGGGATGATTGGAATCATTTCAAATATTTAGGGAGGATATGTTCTTACCATCTGGTAAGGATTGATTCCTATGAATACATGCATACTGGTTGATTGTCATATCTGTTAATGGATATACCTTTGTGAATGACTATATATTTTTTGGATGACTATTTGTTGCAGCATTAAAAGTAATAAAACAACTTGCTAGTATTCCTTAAGTTCTTAAATCCGTTAACAAATTAATGTTAGAACTACTGAAATGGAAAGCAACTGTGAAATGGAAACCACCAGCCATCATAGTATGGTGGAAAAGCTAGGACTTGTTATGATAAGTGCTTCTTATAAGCTAGGATTGCTACTATTTTATTATTATATTCTATGAATGCATAGAAACATTTTTTCATATATTTAAGAATCAATTTTTAATGATATTCAAAACATGTTAATGGTTGTCATACAGTCAGTTTATTTCTAAAGAGTCTTTTCTGATTATATTACTACTTACTCTTGAATACGTTTAATAGTCTTGTTTTCATTTAATGCAGCGCCATTAGATGCTTTTTGTATTGAGTTGGTTTGAGGTAAATCTTCTCTTATGCTATGCAATTTTTCTTGTTCTTTTTCAAAATAATTGTAAAGCCTATTTGTCCATTCTCCTACTCCTCTAATATGTAACCACATATATCCTATAAATCAACATATAGGAATAAACAACAAAATAAATTAGAAATATGTTTTAGAACAATATTATTGTTTTTTATTAATAAAATAGAAGTTTTATTATAAAATCCTTTAGACTATAAGTTTTTTTTTTATAGTATGAGAAGTAGTTGTTTAACTAGCTTATAGATTATCATTTTTTTTAATATCCTAAATACTTAAAAAGAATTCATTGTAAAGAAAAAAAGTTTATGAAACAGAGGAAACATGAAAACTAAATAATAAAACAAGCTTTTCAAAATTTGAAACGTCACAAAGAATAAAAAAATCTAAAAACTTTGTAAATAATGAAACAAGGAAATTATTTTAGAGTGTAAAATGTAATAGAACAAAGTATTAGCTTAATAAATCAATTTAAAAACTGAAATGCTGCACTTACTGGTTTGTAAATTAAAGTTACCACAGGGTTTAAATAAAGTCAGCTAATTTAATTTTAATAAATAAATTCAATTACTTTCAATATTAATTAGATCAGTCACCAGTAACACGATAAAAAAAAAATTAAGGGTACAAATCGGGGTTAAATGATGTTAGATTGCACGATATTGAATATATAACATCTAGTATTGCAAAATTTCTATCTCCCACCAGAAATGACCTGTATGAGGGAGATAAACATTTCTAATAAATTTGACCAATGAATAAGTTGCATTAAAACAAAAATTGTTGGCTAGATGTGGATGAACTGAACTATAGTAGTTTGGTGTTAATACAGGTTTAAAGGTATGATGATGCATTGGCACCTCTACTTCTTAATCCATTCCGCCACACAATCATTTATAAAACAGGACTAAGCCGCGGCAATACAATATTTCTATGGATGGTTCAAATCACAACGTACACTGATGTTGTCATTGTAGGACATTCCTAGATATTGATGAGAAAGCTTTTCACAAGATAAATGTGTTGTGTTTCTTATTTCAATTTGAGTTGATATTATTTCTACTATACCTGTTATTATTTATTATTATTATTATTTGAAGAAATGAGATCAATTTAAGTGGATTATTTCCTTTATTCTTTTTTATATTAATATTTTAAATATTTAAATCATATTGTTTTATATATCTTCAGTTTTTTCGTTTTCTAATATATTTTGAATTTTATCGAATAATAATAATTTATAAGGTGTTCATTAAATATTCAATTTTTTAAAGTGTCTTTTTTTAAATTTACCAATTGAGACATTTAGCTATTATGCTTATCATTTGTCCTTTTATTGAAAATTTTCATTCCTATGTGGTTTATAGTACTCCATGAAATAATTAAGTTACATCTTATAACATTATAAATCAACTAATGGTAACCTACCTATAGTTATTTGAACCTTTTAAAGGTATTATTAAAAAATATTTACTATAACATTTATCATGTAATATGACATTTCCCTTTTATTAAGAATGTGATTCTAAAACAAATTGATAAAATACCTTATATAATATTCATGTTAAGGCATCAATAAACTATAAACTCACTAAATGAAAATGGGCTATAGTTTTTAGCCAAATATTTTATTTTGGATAATATTATGATTATTATTACTTCAGATTGACACAGCTTCAATTCAGTTAATAAACCAATCAAAATGAGACTGGGTAGTTTTAAAATATTGGTTACATTTAATTCTTAAAAACAGCATTGAAGATAGAATTTTTATAACTTTACATATCAATATTTTTTTAACATTGTCATTCTTATTTCCCTACCTCTGAGAGATAGGGAAATAAAAATTAGGATACTAATTCAACTTACAAGGAGAGGATACAGTCTGTAGGCCACCGATTTCAACCAAATTTTTCTTGGTAATACTACATCAAAAAATATAAGACACATATCCTGGCGTTCGTTCCAAAGGGCTCTAGGAGCCAAGAAAAAAAATATTTTGTATAATTTCTAACAAAATATATGTTATTTATTTTTGCCTTTCCTTTGTCCAGATTTTTAGAGTATTATATATCAACCGTTTTCTTTTTTTGTGCAGAATAAGAAAAAGATATTGACTATTGTATTAAACTTAATAAATTGAATTGTATACTTTTTAAGAAATTATACAAATTTTTTTTTCTCAACTCCAAGAGCCCATTAGAACAAACGCCGGGATATGTGTATAATATTTTTTGATGTAGAATCACAAAAAAAAAAAAAATTGGTTGTATCTGTGACCCACAGACTGTATCCTCTTCTTGTTAGAGTGTTAATCTATAAGTGCTAAGATAATTTAGTTTTATTTAAAAGAAATAAGATGAAAATGATGGTGGTGTACTTAATGTGCCACCAGTTTATTGGTGTTATGTATTGGAGCACACTCACTGAAAAAGTTTATTAATCTCAACCATTTCACCCTGGCTATATTCGTTGTTAACTGGTATAATAACCCACTCTTCCTGCCCTGTTAGTTAGTTTATTTAAAAACAAAAAAACTGTACCACCACAACCCATGAAGAGTTTTGGGTTCAGTACTATGTAAGGAAGTACTGTTTCTGGTTCATTTAAGGATATTAAACCTAATAAACAAAAATAGTAAATATAAACTATTTTTTCACTTTTCAAATAGCCTTGGTTCTTAATGTTGAAAAATTGTAAATTAACCAAACACTGTAATATTAAACAATTTACTTTACCTTCTTGTTCAGGTGCTGAACTGATTGTAAAAGGATGCCATTCATATTTTGCGATTGCAGGTATATTAATAAACACATAATCACCAGAATGGAAATCAAAATGTAGAGGACGCTTAATCACTAGATGTGTAACACGAGAAGGCAATAATATGCCTGAACTGATGTAAGTTTTGCCTCGTTCTGATTTCATCCAAGAAAATCTCATTATTCGTTCAATTATATATATAATACCAGGAATGATGAACCATTTCCAAAAGTTGGGTCCATGAAGGATCAGAAGAATCCAAAATGGTAAGTATAATAAGTGTGTCCAATAGAATATCTAAAACATGAAATATGAGTGTTTTCAGCTATCATATTATTTATTAATAAAATAAATAAGTTTACAAAAAAAGAGAAGACAACTTTTTTCAAAAAGTTGAATTAAGTAATATAAATAAAAATAATATAATAAACATAAATTACAAAGTGAACTAAAAAGAGTATATGTTATAAATATACATTATTTTAGTGGGTAATTTTAACCTTCATAAATTTCAATTTAATGTTAATTCACAACTTTTTTAATGGTTCCTAATAACTATCAATATCATAGGACAAAGATTTCATTATGCTTTAAGAATACCTGTTTCTAGAAATATTTTAACTCAGAAAATTACTGATAATAACTCTGAATAAGACTTGAAAGAAATGAAAGTTGATTCAACAGAGGAATGAATTAAGTTTTTATTAAATGAAAATTTCTTTGATTTGTGGCCAGTTTCATCATGTTAAAACTAATGAACCTATTCAATCAGATTTGTTCAAATCTATGAAAAAAAAAGGAAGGCAGAAGATCATAAGCAATTTTTTTGAACAATGTTGCCTGTGAGACTCAACTAGGCCCATATAAACTGGAAGGAGATTCTAATAGCAAATTGTTGAAATATTGGCCAACTATGACAATATAATTATTAATAAAAATTAAAATATACTTCTAACAAAAAATTGAATCATTATAAATTAATTGATGAAATACTTGAGATAGAACAAAATTAATACCTCAAAACTTCCACCTCTTCTCACAAAAGCTTGAGAACAAATAAACATAATTATAAGAATAAGAATCAAAGCAACTCCAGTTGGATTTGCTACACCAGGTATCAGACCAAAAAGTCCGGGTTTACTTGTCAAAATCCATTCAGCTAATGTGTAATTTCCACTATTGATTGTCTGATCATTTACAACATTAATACCTAGAAAATATTTTTTATGCAATAAAATAAATATATTGGAAACAAGGTTAGTACTGTCTTAATGTATTAATTTTCTACTTAAGAAATAATATTGCTCTGGTGATGTCAGATGTTTTGTGGTGCTGAATGTGATCTTTCAGTGGTAGTGAAAGGCATGAAGGGGTTGGAAAAAAAAACAGGAGAAAGATATTTTCTTATTGGTGGGGCCAAAGTTCTGTGACATGAGGCTTCTTTATAAATGATTAAAAGTAATAAGGTTGGTCTTGAAGAAGGGTTGTTTAAATAAAAATGACCTGGAGCAGAAACAGACTTAAGAATTGGTACATGGAATATTGGGACTCTGATGGGAAAAGAAGTCAAGTTCGCATTGGAAAAAAGGAAGTATAGACTAGACATACTTCAGAAAACTGAGATTAAGAAAAAAGGGATTTGAGTAATGAGGCTGGAGAATGAGTACAATCCAGAGTCTCTAAGGAGGAGTTTACCAAAGAGAGTATTGAAATTTCTGTGTCTCCTGCTTCTTTCTGTAAGCTGGAAGACTGAGAACCAATATCCTATCGGATAATGGTGGCAGATCAAAACTTAAGTATAGGAAAAGTATCTCTCATACAAGTGTATGCACTAACAGAAAATTCTTCATTCCTGGAAAACAGCTATGCTGCCCACACAGGTGAAGAACTGTAGACAGATGCAGAGATAAACAAAGGCTTATAATCCTGAGTGGAGTTTTTGAGCGCCTTTATATCGATAACAGTCAAGTTATTGGCAACTCATTTTACCTGTAGGTTCACAAAATAACATTCGCCAGCAAAGGATCAAACTTCATCATAGACTACATGGTATATGATCGTTGTATCAGAAGATACTTCATGATGTAAAGATTATCCATGAAGCTGAGATAGGTTCCCATTACCTATTAGTGGCAAACACCAGGATATTAGAAGGACGATGCCATCAACCTAAGAAGTATGGAACAATTAAGGTTTTGACACTAGATGACCCTTTTAAAAGGATGGAGTTTACCATCAAGCTTGAGGAAAGCGTGAGATTTCTGAAACAAGAGAGAAACGTTGAATCACATTGGAGTGCTAAGAGGCTCTATACACTCGAGCCAACTAGTTGTTTAGTTATACCCCCAAACATAGGTCTTCTCAGGGAAGGTGGCCCTGGAGTGAGTACTGTACATAATCTTGTGTCTGAATAAGTATTGTTTGTACTGTTCTGTTGTGCATGTGATATGTTTATTGAACTAAGGTCACACACACAACAGAATAGTTTAATGATAAACCCCACTAGCCTGGCCCAGATTAGTCCTTTTGGGAAGAAAACACTTTAGAAATGAAAAATTAACTAAATTGTTTGTTCAATAGATTAAATGCTTATGATAGATGTGTTATCGAATAAATAAATAATATTAAAACAAATTTATTTATATACATATTGTATTATTCTATTCTTATTAATTTCAATCTAAAAATATTAAGAATTAGTGATATTAATGATTTACTTACTAAAATTAAATAAATGCATTATAGTATGAATGACACTATACACAAATATACAAACTCCAGTCACTTTATGAAAATAAATGTGTTGGTCAAGTGGTAAGAAATTACTGAATCCTCTCGTTCTTAAAAAAGTAATGCTGTGACGCAACATTAGTACAAGGACAAACATACAATTGAAGTTCAAACATTGACCTGTTTAGAAAAACGAAATATCATCATTAGATACGGTAACTTAAGTTTTGACGTCTATGATTTATCATGGAAAGATCATACAATGTTAGTTAAGTCTTATAATTAATATATATATAATATATTATAAATATATATAATAATAAAAATATAAAATAATAATATACAAACTTTATTTAAGAATTATAATAAGAATATATATATATATATATATATATATATATATATATATATATATATATATATATATTACACAGATTGTCTTAAATTCATTTATAACCAAAGCTACTTTAAGGAATATATATATATTATTTGGTGTTTTTTACTGTTCATAATAGCCTAATGCATGGATTCTTAAAGTTCTGTACTACAAGGACCTCCTCTTGAACAAAATTCTTTTTAATGTGCTCCACACACACACTAGAAATTTTAATTTGTTATTTTAGTAACTAACTAGTTATGTTGATAGTTACATGACAACAAATACAGAAAGTCTTGACCATGTTGAATTTTTATTAAATGAGTTATTTGGATAAAAGAGAAAATTTATGGGACTCTAACTTAGTGTAAAAATGGTTTCTCAGGCCACCAGAAATGGTCAGACCATCTCCAAGAGTCCACGGGCCATGGTTTAAGAACCTCTGGTCTAATACAAAGTCATATTTGTAACTAATGTACACATATGTTTTTAAACTACTCCTATTCCACCCCTCTTCATGAATTTAATTATTTTGATTGTTTATTTTTTTTTATTGATTATTTATTATTTTGATTGAATGAATTAGTTTTATAATATAATATAGACAATATTTAAAAAAACAATAATAAAATGTCTGTAGTATGTTATAGCTATCCTAATTAAATGGGGAACTCTGAAGAAATTAATTACTTTGTTTAATAATATTTTAACTTATCAGTGTAGCATGTATTTTAAAATATGAATTCCAATTAAAAAAAAAAAAGAAAACGTGGCAGTTATATTAAAATTATTATTATTATTAAAATTTAAAAATGATTAAAGGAAAAAATAACAAATCTTAAATATATATTTTAACTTACCACAAGCTCGAGCAGAAATAACAAAGAAGTTAGCAGCACTATATTGGATGATTCTCTGTATAATTAACACGAGGTTAATACAGAAAATAAACATTGCAAAGATGATAAACACATAGTTATTTTTTATATATGGAAGAGATAGTTGATATGGTCTTAGGGAGCTTAATCTGGCTAATGTTGAAGTTTGTGCTGCTTTTGGCTTTGGAGGCACAAGCCATCTATCAATACTGCAAAAGAAATAAACAATGTGTTTATAGACATAATTTGGTTGATATGATTGGACTCTTAATAACAAACAATAACTATTTGATAAATAATGTTAGGCTAATTTTACTACTTGTTTACACTTAGAAAAGAAATTAAAACTTGAAACATATTTTTACTTATTTAATAAATTAACCACAAAATGTATAGCATTTATATAGAAAAGTATTGATGGTTTTTCTAACATTATGTATCCATGTCGTAGTCGTAGATTTGACATATGCATTAATGACCTTTTTCTAATCACTCCCTATATCATTTGAATATATTTGTCCTTTCCACCTTTAGAACCTATCATAACACTAAAAAAATCTCTTAGCCCTCAAAAAAATTAGTCTGGTTTTGCGGAGAATAAGCTGAATTGTAATCTGGAGAAGACAAAGCATATTCCAACCAGTTCTAAATAAAATTCTTGTGCAATTCTTTTAAAGCATTAAAACCAATGGAATCATCTAAAATCTAACGTTTTCCTGGAAAACCATGCATCTATTATCTCCCATTTCATTTTCTTCACTCAGCCAATGTTTTCTACTTCAGGATATCTCCTTAATTTTCCTCCACTATGAGTATTTTTTTGCTTTGCATAGAAAGATGTATCTCAGAGTATCAATGTATCAAAGATGTATAAGAAAATAATAATAATAATAAAAAATAGTGTTAATTGAATTTTTTTAAAAACATTTATTTCTACTTTATTTAATAACTAGATTTAAAGTGTGTCTACACATATTATTAGACAAATGAACAAACATTATACCAAAAACGTTATTATATCCCTATAACTATGCTTTATTATAGCTCTATAATTAGGAGTACTGAGGAAGAAGACAGTAGGCGCTTACAGAAGAATCGCTTTTTCCGCCGATTATATGCATTTTATAAGGAACTCTTTCAAATATTTTAAAACTAAATCACTAATCTAGAAAGATAAATTGATGTATCAGATGTACTATTTCAAGGCATTTTCGTTATTTTGGCCGTTTGTTTACAAACGACGCTTGATTTTCAACATTAGTTTTAATGAATTGAATAAATTAACTTTACCAGTATTTGTATTGTCTAAACCAATTATATTTTAATATTTTTTAATGTTTTATTAGTTCTGACTATTCAGCTTTAATAAAATGCCAACTATGACGAAATTAAACCAAATGCTGAATCTTAGTGACCGAAAAACTAACTCAAGTTGTCAATCCGACATGTTGGATGCCATTTTGGGACAGTGCGTTCATTTGTTTTTGGGACCATTGGCTTTTTTAAAATAAATAGTTGCAAGGAATACAACGATATGAAATTTATGGAGATGTGGAGGAGTGTACGGTAGGGGAGTCAGGCCACTACCACTATTGAGGGTGAAGATGCCATGGATGAACAACCCTTGCCAATACCTGCACGTCCTAAGTGATTGAAAACGTGAATCCATCTAAATTTGTGGTGTAATATTAATAAGTTATTGAAAACAGAGATAACAATGAGGTTTATAATTGTATGTATTTCATATAACAAAATAGAATAAAATTATCATGAGACTATGATATTATCTGTCAAGAATATGATAAAAACAACTTTTTCTGTAAATGACATTTTACGAATACTTTTAAAATAGCTGTAACTGTAGACTAGTTGGAGATTAATTTGCATATGTATATATACTCTCATAGGGAATTTAAGTCACTACAGCTTCTTTTAAACTACTTTCTTTCTATAATGACTGTTTCAGACAATATGGAGGAATGTTTGATGAAAAATGTGTGGCAAAGTGATTTTTTTTTTCTCGGAAATATCATCTTTTTCCGAGTGTGTTGTTCAAAAATGGTTTAGAATTTGGATACAACCTATAGAATAAAAGTTTTAGATAATTTTATAAACTTTAATTTACTATACGTAGCATTTCCACTGCGATGAACCATTTTCGAGATATAAGCGAAAATCCAAAATTGTAACCTTTCCTCTCTTCCTCCCCTTCCCCCGGCTCACCGTCTAGGCGTCAGGAATTTTGATATGTTCATATCCTAAGCACCCTGAACAAGTTTCTGAAGGAATCGCTTAGGTTCCTGCTCACGTACTCTATAAATCCTTTATTGACTGGACTAATCATATAGCTTGTCATACAGGATCCTATCCTCATGGATTCAAATTAGCTATTTGATGTGTTTATATCAGCTCAACTTGTTGAAACATTTCATACATGGTGATTCTATCCTAATAAAATATTTTTCCATCTGATGTTTCATTCTTAACTACAACCATTGCTTAATATTCTTCATAATTTCAAATCCTACCTATTAAATCATCTCCTATCCACACAATTTTCCAAGAATCATATTTATACATTTTGCATCTTTGAAAATAGTAAAATGAATATTATACTATGTTTGTTTCTTAAGGTTTTATAGATACTTTATTATTATTATTAAATTTAAGACAGGTAGTTTTATTACTGTAAGGCACTATAATCCATCTTTTGTTATATTATTATTCTAAAAGGATCTCTTATGATTAATAAAACAATTTGAAGTTGCTTTAAGTATGTATTGTTATAAAAAGAAGCATTTAGTTGAACGGGACTAAATATACTACCATAAAATGGGGTAATTTTGGGACAGCGGGTAAAATTTAGTTTGTGGTGATTCTGTGGTGGATTCACTGTGTTGGTTCAGTCTGTAAAACCGTGTTGGTATGTACTGCACTACGACCTTGCGGCAGCTTGAGAACCCTAGTTCACAACAGTTGTGCAGTTAGGTTTCATTTATTTCCATTGCTTTTTTCAAAATTCTTGTTATCATGAAACTTTTGCTAGTGCAGCAAGAATATTATGTCGCAAAGTAGCAGCGCAGTATATGCTGACTGAACCTACTCAGTGTATCCATCACGGAATCACCACAAACTGAATTTTACCTGCTGTTCCAAAATTACCCATCCTGTCCCCAAAGTTAGCCCATCTTACGGTATTTCAAAGTTAACTAAAGTAGCATTACATATTATATATAATATTATCAGAAATTTTTGGTTCTGAAGCAAGAATCCTGTTTGACTATTGGAGTGGGGTGGGGGATAAATCACTAATAGTCATTTTTGTAATATTAAAAAATCTATTTACATTTACATACAATATAGACTTCTGAGTTTTGTATTAATCATTTGAGCTAATTTTCTCTACGGCGAACTCCGAGGAAACTGGATCACATTACCTAAAAGTTGGAGGTCTGATCATGTTAATCATAAAATAAAACACTTTATGGGTTATTAGTTGAAAGGGGTTGAGAAAATATTAGTAAGAAATCTTTTCGTTGATGTAACCTTTAGTGTATATAATTTTTAATAAAATTTCTTTTTTATTGAATAAAAATGGTAGAAGGCCTGATATTTGAGCAATTAAAGACAAATTTCATTTGAATAGCAAAGCCCCACCAGCATCTCTGAAGATATATATAATAATAATAATAATAATAATAATGCTTTATTTATTCTGGGACGAGTCCCTTTAGAATAATACAGAGAAACAAAAATATGGGCTAAGGAGCCTCAGAGATACATAAACAAGAGTATAGTTTGATTAAATAGTAAAAAAAAAAAAAAAAATAAATAAAAAAAATATTTAGAGAAATTATAAGTTACTTTCTAATTTACATCAGTTAATATAAAAAAAAAAAATTGAAAAAAACATGAAGTAAAAATAATAAAAACGATCTAATAATTTATATACATATTTACAGTAGTAACTATTTACAATTTTATGATGAGGACTGGATGGATAAGAAATGATTAAACAGTTGGGATTTAAAGGTAGGAAGGGTTTTGGATTGACGGATGTGGGGAGGGATGGAGTTCCATAGGGAAGAGGATCGAATAATAAATGATTTATCGAAAGCAGCGGTTCGGTGGGCCATTATATATAGATCTGAGGACCGGGAACGGGTATTGCGGGAGTGGACAGAGGATTTAAATTGAAGGAGCTCGGCGATGTATGAAGGACGGCGGGAGTGAATTACTTGGAAGAGGAAGGATGCCAGGAAATACTTATGGCGGTTGGAAGGATAAAGCCACTTCAACTCTTCATAGAAACAGGAAACAGGAGCGTCTCTTGGGATCCCGAAGATGAATCGTACAAAGCAATTTATCAAACATTTTAGTTTCGCCTCGAGATCCCCAGAAACGCCCCAATACACCGTGCAGCAACAGTCGAAATGGGGAAATATTAAAGAGGTGACCAGGAGTCTACGGATTTCAAAAGGAAAAAGGTGTCGCAGGCTATTTAAGTGTTTTAGGGTGGAAAAGGTACGTCGGGAGATATTGGACACATGGTTTTTCCAGGTAAGGGTTTGATCGAAGATTATTCCAAGGTTTTTGATGGTGGGATAAAATTTAATGGGATTATCATGTAAAAAGAGGGTTGGAAAGTTAGGAACAGTTTTGAGGAGGTGATTGGAGCCTATTAGGATTGCCTTGGTCTTTTCCGCATTCAACTTCAACTTGTTAACTCCTGCCCAGTCGTATATTCTATTTAAATCTTCTTGAAGCTTTTTTGTGGCGGCTAATAGGTGGAAGGGGGAAGGAAAGGTATATTTGGAAATCGTCAGCATAGATGTGGTATTGGGAGTGATGGATCTGGTTGGGAAGGTCATTAATGTAAATAGCAAACAGAGTAGGAGACAAGGAGGAACCCTGAGGGACACCACAGGAGAGGGGAAGTGTCTTTGAAGGAGGTTGATCTGGGACGACTACATACTGGGATCGATCGGAAAGGAAGGATTTGAACCAACGTAGGACACTGTTGGATAGAGGAAGATTTTGCAATTTGGAAAGAAGGATGTTATGGTCAACTGTATCAAACGCTTTGGAAAAATCTAGAAGGATGAGGATAGTAAGGTTTTGATGTTCAATGGAGTTTTGGAGGTCATGGGTTATTTTAAGGAGGGCAGATTGCGTTGAATAGCCGGGTCGGAAGCCAGATTGGAATGGATTGATGAAGGAACGTTCTTCTAGGAAGTTGGAAAGTTGATTTTGGACAAGGCGTTCCAGTGGTTTTGAGAGGTTGGAAAGAAGAGAAATAGCGGAAGTCGTTCTGTGAGGAAGGGTTAGATGTTTTACTCAATGGTCGGACGAGTGCAGTTTTCCAGGAAGAGGGAAATGTGGAATTTTGCAATGAGAAGTTGTAGATATGATAAAGTACTGGAATAAGGGTAGGAAGGCTGGATTTTATTAGTTTTACTGGAATATTGTCAGGACCATAATCATTGGTGTGGGATTTGAGTATAGTGGAAAGTACTTCGTCGTAGGACACATGGGAAAAAAAGAAGTTTTCAGGATTGAAATTATGGTGTTCAATATCATGAGTAGGAGAAGGATTAGAAGCAAAAGATAAAAAATGGTCATTAAGATCATCTGGAGTCACAGGGAGGGAAATGAGGTTATTGGAATCTGGTGGGGATAGATTACGAAGTATTTTCCATTTCGATTTAGAATCGGGAGCTTTGGAAAGGGCATTATGAAAGTAGTTGGATTTAGTAAGGCGGATTGTGGATAGGGTTGCATTACGGAGTTATTTGAAAGATGCATAATCAGCAGGTAAGCGGGTTTGACGGTATTTGCGCCTTGCTGCATTCCTTCTCTTTATTATTCCCTTTATTTCAGGAGTCAGCCAAGGAGCAGTGGGACGACGTAAGATTCTGGTTTTCAGAGGAGCATGGGTGTCTAATATATACCCCACAATTGGGCCATTAAAATCACTGTCAGATAATTAGAGTTGATTGATACTTTAGGCAGATGGTTTATCAGTCGCTTAGACGTTATAGATATTCTGAAACTTAGCCATTATGTTTCATTGTACCTAATTAGTTTATTTCAATAAACTCACTTTTTAAAAAATGTCTGCGGGACTCCATCTAATTAACTATTGACAGCTAGAGGCTTATGTCTCTCTGTTGTGATCATTGCTCACAGAACAGTGGTACTGTTTTGGGAGGTGAATTAATAAATTATGTCTGCACCCCTAAAAGAAAAGGTGTTGTAAAAAGGTCTATCCATTATAGTTATTTATCGATTTGTATTGTAAAAACTGTCCCCACAATAATGAAGTTTGTTTGGGCAGAGTTTGTAAACTTCTGATGAGAGAAGTGGAGAGATTATAATTTACAGTTGATAATTATGTTTAATGATTAACATTTATTCAAGTCTAATATAAATATAATTATGTTTATTATATAAAATAAATGAGAAAATGAATGTTCACATAAAACATTGAATATAAATTTCAATGCTTTATAAAAGTGTAAAATTTATTTAAAACCATTATACTTTATAATTATAAAAATAAATGCAAAGTATCATATAAGTAATAGAATTAAGTTTGAAATCAATGAAATACCTAATTGAAAGATTTTCAAGTAAACCACCATGTTTTTCTAATTGATTCTTTAGGGATTCGTATGTTATAGCTCCTCTAGATTCAGAATCAGCATCTTCAAAAAGGGCCATAGTTAAATCATCAATTTGCTCTTCACTGAATTGCATTCCATTTTCCTCCATACAAGCACGCATTACATGTTGCAGCTCTCTATGTTGAATAAGACCATCACCTGAAGTTTCATGGGGTTATTTAAACAATATATAGTATTTGAATAAATTAACTAGCCTTTATAACATATAGGATAGATGAAATTGTAAAAAAATATTTAAAAAATATGACATAGTTGAAAGATAATGAGGCCACCTTAACAGTGATGATATTAAGAATAGTTTGTTTGTTTGTTTAGGCTTTAAGGCGTGAAACCCTATGGTCATCAACGCCTGTGAGCTGGTTATTTTTGTTATCTGTTGAGTTCATAACTCTTTAGAAGAATATTAAGAATAGTTCTTCAATGCTAGGGTTGATATTTTTGCTGAAAATCACATTTTAACGCTTTTTTGTGGTAATTAATTTAAGTATGGGATAGAGTATTATTAGTGTAAGCATTGTATAAAAATCTATATTATTTTATAATACAAAATATAATTTCCACGATAAATAATATTGCAAATTGTTATTCAAATTTTGAAGTTGAATTTGAAAATTTACCATAGTTTAAAAAAAAAAAAATTAAAATCCCTTTGGATTTTTTATTGAAACAAGTTTTAGTTTATTTATAGAAAGCATTTTAGTGGCATGTGTACAACTACCTTCAATTAAAAATTCTATAAACCATACATCATAATTTATATATATGAAGTACATATAAAACTAGGTGCACATTATTAAAATAATTGATTGGTATTATTATAAACAAAGTAATATTATAAATAATAAAGTTGTATTAAAAATAAAAGGAATTACCATCAAGATCATAAACTTTAAATAGGAACTTGATCTTATCATCAGGAGATTGGCCAGCAAATTGATGCATTGCGTCTAAAAACTCTTGCAGTGAAATTGAACCAGAGTCATCTTTATCAAATATTTGAAACACTCTTTCAGTAAAAAATGGCTATAATATTAAACAGATAAATTAGAATCAAAATTTCATTATTTAAGAAGGACTTATGTAAATTACTAAAAATATCACATGATTGTTTTTTTTTTAATAATAATTGAAAAGATCTCATGGTTTGATCATAGAAACAGACAAAATAATTAATATAAAATTAATTTACTCTTAAAGAGGAAAAAAAACTCTGATCTATTTGAGCACGAATTGACATCTGTTTGAAATACTAGATGCAAGGGAACAATTGGATGTTTATTTTGAAAGCTTCATGAAAGCATATCATGAAGATATACTACTATATATTGAAAATATTATTTATATTTTTTAACTATCAAAAAATTAAATTCTATTAAATTAACAGTTGAATATTATTAAATGGTTTTATAAATTATAATATTTTTGTTCTATGTGGTTAGGGTTTGAATTATATTGCTTAATTATATAACCGGTGGCTTAAATAAGAAGGACTGTGCACCGATGTATGTAGGTACCCTTCCCCTTTAATTTTCTCTTTATTTCTTAGGTACTACTTAAGCTCGCAACCTTTTTTCAAAATTCATTCTTACATAGACTAATTAGATCATAATTACGTTTAGGGTAAAAATTATTCTCTGACTATTCAGCTTTAATGAAAGGCCATAATTAAATCAAATGCTGATTCTCAGTGGCCAAAAAACTAACTCGTCAAAGTAGCCAGTCCGCCATCTTTGGAAGCCATTTGAGAGAAGTGCGTTCACTTTTTTTTGTGGGAACATTGGCTTTTCTTTTTTAATAAATAGTTACAAGGAACAGAACGACTGGACTGTACGGTAGGGAGGTCTGGCCCACAGACAATAAAGTTCACAGTTGCATTGTTTGTTGGTCGCCTTTTTTGATATGTGTTGTCAGTGAATTTTTTTAAGTGTGTGTTTTCTGATATTTATTTTATATTTCATGTAATATACACAGGTAAATATAAATGATGTAGAGGTGGTTGATGGTGATATACTATGAGAAGGAGTTGGTTGGGGGGTGCGGTCAAATAAATACTAAATTTAAAAAAAATAAAAATGTGGCGTAATAATTAAAAATAACTATTTTTAAAAATTTAGTATTTATTTGAAAGGAACCCCCCTCCCTCCACTCCCTACCAACTCCTTCTCGTAAATATAAATGGTTATACGTATGTATATATAAACGTATTCAAAATAATTTCATGCTTATATAAAATGTAATTAGATAAATCTATCTACTTCGTAATATCAACTCTATTGAATATCAGGCACTAATTTAATAATTTTGAACTTTAATAAATCAGCTTTCACATCTGGGTTTGACGGTTTATATAAAATATATTATAAACGTATACATGGGTTAATTAAGGAGTTATATTTAATTAATACAAGTATTTCTTAAATCAATGTTTAAGCGTAATATATTGTTAAGTTATCGATTAATCTTAGTCATTATCTGTCCTAAATCTTGTATGTAGATGCCATTTTTTAAAAGAGTGGCATTACAATAGACTTTTCTAATTGACCTACGCTTTTTTAGGTGAAGTTACTGTTTCAATTCAGAAAACTTGTAACATAATGAGTCAAGTCATGTCACTGCATTTCACACATTCCGGCAAATTAGACTTTTTTCATTGATTATTAAGTTTACGTTTCCGATAGTTATTAAAATAAATTTTAGTAAACATTCTTTATATACACACATTAACAGTAAAATGTCGCTAAGGAAACTTAGCCAATGCTTTCAGGCATCCAACATTGGGAAGTGTTGTAATACCTGAAAGGAAACAATAATAAAAATAATTTAAGGTATTGAAAAATTCCTCCAAAAAAAAGTAAAATGAATATCTTAGTACGGATAATTGTTGAGGATATACACTATTTAATATTTATTCATTGATGAAACTTGTTATCTATTTTTATAAACAAAATATTCAATAAAGATTAAATATAAAAATTATTTCATTGTCTTGTTCATTATTATGGCACTAATTTCTACAGTGTCTTCAATATTTCCAAGTTCATACAAGTAATAGACTACTGACATTACTACAGTCACAAATTCTAAGGTGACTGGTTTTTTTTTATTTTTAAAATGTTAAATAAAATTTAACAAAAAGGATGGTAATACAATTAAAATATAAAGAAATTAAAAAACAAGCTTATTACAAAAGAAAAAAATGTATCAAGTGATTTTGAAGAGAAGAAATGTTGTTGCATTATAACATAATTTGAGAGTGTTAACAGTTTTTTATAGTGGCAAAATAACACAAATTCAATCGTGTGATCCAGCTTGGTACAGAGGCAGTGATAAGATGAACAATACAACCAACTAAAAAAAAAAAAATGTATTTTTTAACATTATTTGTTTATTGTAAAGGTAATTATGATACAATCAGTCTATGTAAGAATGAGTTTTGAAAAAAAATTACGAAGTTAAGTAGTGCCTAAGAAATAAAAATAAAATTGAATGTGAAGGGTACCTACATACATCGGTGCACAGTCCTTCTTATTTAAGCCACTGGTTACATAATTAACCAATATAATTCAAACCCTAACCACATAGAACAAAAAGGTTGACTAATTGTTGAGAATAAATAAAGACATTTGTTAATGGATTATTTATTAATGGTCTTTCGTGTTTCATACAGACTACTACGTATCAATAGCCTGGTATCTTCGCCTTCTCATCTACCTTTTTCTATTTAATATTAGTTCCGATCAGGGAACTCTGGGATCCTCCCACTAACGTTCTCGGCACCTATCATTCTTCCAATAATTTACTATGACGTCAACAAAAACGATAATAGTTTTTTTTTTTTTAATTTCCGGAGTATCGAAAAGCAGTACTATTGAGCCTATTTTAACGGACCAAGGATTTATCTCAAAAATTCCTAAATTTTCTTTGTACACACCCAATTATTTTAGTATACTTTGAAATTAATTAGCAATCTGCGAGTTTGAAAGTTTGGACAAGATTACAGTCGAAATATGTTTGGCAGATATTCGTATTGCTATGTATTGTAAAGACCGCCGGTGGAATAATTATTTTAAAGGTATAAATAAACATCATAAGTGGCCACATCTGGCGCTACCTGAACGAGGGTAACGACCCACAAGCCCAACCTTTTGTAAGTGGTAATAAAAACCTTTAAGAACCACCGACAAAGACCGACAACTCTGAGTGTTTAAACAGGATCCCGAAAGACCTTTTTACACCTTCCACCAGAAATACCTAAGTCTGTACCTGCTGCTTTACCTTGGCCTGGGGGAGGGCGTGGTCATCCCTTACGCTGAGAATATTCAGCCAATCAGGAAAAAGACTACCAAAAGAGAGGGGGATGAAGAAAGTGGGAAATAGAGAATTGGGACTGAGCACTTCCTCTGGGGACTCGGCGGAGGAGAGCTGGGGACACAGGCTGAGACTGGATCAGGAGAAGCGGAGAGAGCAAGACAGGGACTGATAGCTGGGACTCAGGCTAGGACACAGCCGGAGGGAGCAAGATGAAGACTTGAGGATCAGATCGACGGAGCTTCCAGAGACGTAGCCAGAACAGCTAGAGATACCGACAACATCCCTCACCAGCTAAGTAATAACCTTCATTTAGTTATACAGATGTAAACTTGTGTTGGCAATCATAAATTTTTAGTTAATAGAGTCAATATAACACATGTAACTTTAATCAAATATCAAGCATTCTCCTCTAGTATGATTCTCAACTATTCATTATGTAGGTTTAGTTATTATTTTGTATATAGATGTTTTTGGTTTTATTTAAGCTTATAAATATAATTGTTAGTAAACCATCTTAGTACTTTTACATTCTACCTTGCATGCCACCAATTAGTAATAGAAACAAATAGTAAATTTATAAACATGATACCTTTAGAAAGGAAATCCAATAAAAATTATATGGTTCAATCTAGGATACTACAGTAGGGGGTCTGTGGTATCTTACCTTTAAATACCTAATTAATATATTTTTCTGTAGATCGGTTCCCTTCTGGAACCGATATGAATACAAATATACAGTAACATAGCAGTATAGTGGTGATTAGTAATCTTCAATAATTACATGATCATTACTTTTATTTTAAAAAACAGTTTTTCCTGTTTTTTAAAGCTTTAATACCACGTAAGATCTGGGGTTACATACTTTGTACGGGATCACTGTTTCTGAACTAAGGGTTGTGGAAGGCAGGGGTGCCCAGAAGGGGGTTTCATGGCCCAAGTTGCACCATCAAAATATATGAGGGGGCACTTTTTGACGGGGTTCTCAATTTTTGAGGGGGGCACATTTCGATGAGTTTATGGGTTTTCAAAGTGAAAAATTTCAATTTAAAAGACAAGAGAGAGCATGCAACAGACTGCAGGCGGTGTAATTATATATAATCTACGAATATTTAAATAAATTCTACTTTAGTTGGCGCTGTTTTTAAGAACAAGAGAGGAATAAAATATGTTGGTAGGGGTAGGGGAAGGTTTATGTGACATCGGCTTTTGGGGGGATGGGCACCCCTGGTGAAATGAGGTTATTTGGCAATGATCACGTTCTCAATTAAGGTTGCTAACTTTATAGGATGTGCTCCAGGAGGGTCTCCTGAAATCGACAGAATCGATTCAAGACTGATGTAATAGAATAAATACTTGTCTTCTATAGCCGGAATCGAACCCAGGACCGAGAGAATAGGAGCACGGTTTCGTATTCATATAAGCTACTCCTGTTTGATGTTAATTGGTCATTTCATCATGAAAGTCGGGAATAAAAAAAATGTTAATGCTCTAATTACTGTTGTGTATGTTTTAGTAATAAACCATTTTTGGAGTACTTGATATAATAGCTTTCTCCAAAAGTTTCAATTTGGGTAAATGGCCTGTAATCCTATATTCTGAGTATTCTGTATTCAGAGTGTTGAACAGCCGTATTTTGTCAACCTATTATGTCAGAAAAAGGTTTCACACTTAACAGCTTAAATTTTCTGAGTAAACGAATAAAGATTGACATCAATTATGAAATTAATTTACAAAATTTCTTGAATTTGTTCGGTCGTTTACACTCATGTTAGTTATATCATATTTTCAAAAACACAAATTGATATTAAATATAATTTCAATTTGGTGGTGTCTTTATTGTCAGAGTACATGTCTTTTCTTTTTGGTCCTTATATAAATTAATGTTTAATAATATAATATAATTAAATAAATGATATAATTAAATTGTTTTAAAACTTTTTTTGTTAACAAAGTAAAAAATTGAGCTTTATTATAGTTATATTTTTTCATCGAATGTACATACATATGCTAATGTAGAATAAATATTGTCAGTTAAAAAATAGTATCCAAATTCATGAAAATAGAAAACTTTTTAATAACAATAAAAATGAAATTCCAGTTCCTTATTTTCCATCTGATTTGCTTGATTATTATCAATAGAATAAAAAATGTTGTACTTATTATACTACCTTTACGTAAATGAATAAATAAAACAAATTGGACATTAGTAAAAGTATCAACATACATTTTTAGTAATAAGAATCTTCTTAAAGTCATCTCTTCGTATTTCTTTTTCATTTCCAACTGTTTGCCTAAAAAGTTGCTCCAACCATTCCAGGTTACCTTTGTCAAATCCGGAACGTTTTCTAAAACAAGAAATTTTTACATGAAATTTAAATAAATGGAAAAACTCAACCCCAGACTCATTCCTGTCGATCTTTTTAACAAATTTAAAATTTTGTTTATTTGAAATGGATAAGAAAGATTTGTTATTTGCTTTATTGCTTTTGCACTGGTTTTGGCTGACAAATGAAGCACACAATCTTTTTGTACACAATAAATTATTTTAATACTCATTCTAGGTAATATATTTTACCATTGTAAAACATTTCTACTTATTTTAAATAGTTTTCAGCCATACATTTAATGATATACTTTTCATTTTGCATGTTATCATGATTAATTTAATATATTTGTAGCTTAATTGAATTAAGTATGAATATTTTTTTATCTAAGGGTATATTTATTCATAATATTTTTTTTATTCGTACACAGAATATTTCTCTTTCAGATATATATTTGCGATAACTAACCCCGGATTTTGGCCAATCCTCCGAAAGTTAAACTGTTGATCCCCTTAGGTCGCCAATAGAGAAGCCAGAAAAAACAAAACAAAATTAAAACATTAGAAGTCAAACATAGGTGTTTTGGATATTTCAGTCTAAAACACCGACATTTTAAATCGAAACAGAGTTTAAAGTAAATCATTAACCTTAACAATTCATGTCACACACACTAAGATTTTATAAGTAACCATTTCGTATAATCTTCTTCCATCAGATTATGCGTAAAGATGCATAATTGAAAGAAAAATCGTAAAAAAGAAAATGCGAAAAAAAGAAAAAAACAACAGAAATCAATCCGCGATGTTCCGATCAAAATCCAATTGGAATATTCTCCAAAAAATATTGCTACTAGAATCTCTGAGTTCCACTGAGCCACATAAAATGATCTAAATATTGATTTCATATACTTTGACTCTACTTTTTCATTCGCTGTCGATATTAAATATTAAAACTTTAAATCAGTAAATTCTCATATTCTCATATTTCATGAGAGGAAACGCTAACCACCACCCTAAAATCCCACAATGATCTCTCAATACTTGGACAATCACAGCATGTCTTCTTTCTAAATCATTACGCGTAACAAAAATAACTTTGTTCATGAAATTTTATTACTTGGGCATTCAAGTTAACAGTTCATTCCTGATAGATCTTCAAAATACTATCAAACCACTCATAAACTTTCACACTAGACTCCTTTCCGAAATCTCATTCAACTTTCCTCGATGAACACAAAGCCCCAGCTATCCTCTTATGGGACGCTAATGGACTGCAAAACCACCGTGATGAATTAGACATATTTATTCATGACAATCACACAGACATTGCCCTCCTGACGAAAACTTATTTCACTCAATGGTCAAACTTTTACGTTTGTGAGGACATCACTTACAGATCAGACAACCCAGACAACACTTCTCACCCCGGTTCTTGCATCCTTATCCTTTTCCCATTCCCTGATTCCTTTAACTCCAACTGATACCATTCAATCAACCTCAGTAATCCTTTCATCTCATCCTTTCCATCTCTTCTGGTAAATCCTGTTCTTCTGGTAAATCCCTATCTTATAACCTTCTTGATTCATTATTCCAATCACTCGGACCGCGCTTTGTTGCTGGAGGATACTATGATGCTAAATACCAACGATGGGGTTGTCGCACACCCAACTCCTGTGGTAGTATCCTATCTCGTGTCTCATATTGCAATAGTTATTCTATCCTTTCGCCCATGAATCCAACTTATTGGCCAACATCCCTTAAAAACGTCCTAATATCCTGGATATTTTTATCACCTCCCAGATTTCGCCTTCCTAGACCACAATGAAATCCATGGAAGACCTTTCGTCAGATCATAGTCCTGCTATTATTGCCTTAAAATCACTCTCCTTAACCCTCCCCTCCAAAATTGACAACAGATCGAGTTGACTGGGATAAATTCGTGATGGTTTGGAAAACAAACTGGACTTAAAAATTCCGCTTAAGACAAAACAAGACATAGACAAAGCCATTGAAAAACTTACACATCAATAGCATTCAGTATAAATGATAATACATGCATCAATAAAAACAAAAATACACCACATATCAACTTGCCACAAAATTTTCGAATATTATTAAGGGAAAAATGCTGAGCAAGATTGGAGTGGCATAGAACAAGAGTTTTTTTCTACATATAAAACCTACTATAACGAATTGACTAATAAACTAAAAGTAGAAATTAGAAAATTCAAAACTCAAAAATTACTTAACCTGTCAGCAAATCTTACAACTGCCGACAAATCACCATGGACGACCAGCCAAAAGCTTCTGAAGTTTAAAGACTTCAATCGCCCACTACTTACTGAATCCCAAACCTGGTCCAGATCCGACGAAGAAAAATCCCAAATATTCCGTCAATAACTCTTCCAAACTTTCAATCCTTATCCTGATATCCTTTATCTAAGTCCTCTCCAAATGTCCCTTCCACCTAAAGAATTCCATCACACAAAAATATCCGACATCATTTAGAGATTACCTTCACGCAAAGCTACTGGACATGAATTAATTACATCTCAAATCATAACAATTCTTTCTCGAAAAGCCATCCTATTCCTTACTTATATATATAATGGTTTACTTTGATCCACATATTTCTCTGATCCTTGGAAACTTTTAATTTAAAAATTTGATTAAACTTAAAAAAAATTATTGTCAAAGGGGTCCACAAACCCAAAAAGCCACCTGAATACCCATCCTCTTACTGTCCGATCTCTATATCATAGGAAAAATCCTGGAAAAACTCATCTTAACACGCCATTGCCCAGGACGCCCCATAATAATATAACGCCCCATCCTAGACATAATCCATTTTCACCAATTTGGATTTCGCACATGCCATTCCACTATCCAGCAATGCCATCGTGTGGAAGACGTAATATCCTCTGCATTGGACCGCAGAATGTACTGTACAGGAGTCTTTCTCGACGTTGAACAGGCGTTTGACAGAGTTTGGCACCCGGAAATGCTGTGAAAACTCCGTAAATTCCTACCACCTTCGTACTTCCTCATTATACGTTCATATCTTACTGATCGATACTTCAAAGTAAGTCACAATAATGCATTTTCACCCATCTTTTCCCAGTCTGCTGATGTTCCTCAAGAAAGCATCCTCGGTTCTATCCTTTACACAGTTTATACATATGATATCCTAACACGGTCATCACCACCTATGCCGAGGATACTTGTATCTTATCAGTTAATAATGACCCTTTAATCACATCGCAAACCCTCCAATCACATATCACAAACCTTGAAGAATGGTGTCAAAACTGGAGAATAAAAATAAATCCCATCAAATTTCCCATACCCTCCATCGTAAACCTTACGACTTCTTGTCCTACAATATCCTTCAATGATATTCCACTTGTCCCTGTTGAACAAATCCGTTACCTAGGATTCCAGTTGGTCTTACTTGGAATCAGCATACAAGAATGAAATTTGATTTGGGAAGCAATTTAAACAATAATAAAAAATACATATACAATATAACATCCAAATAATTCTTCGTATACAGCCTGCGCACACATATATAGTAAAATTATTCATTGTTTGAATTACAGGAAGTCATTTTTTTATTCTTGTTCCTGGAAATTAAAGGAAGAAATATATACGTTTTCATCTAGTGGTATTTTTTGATATTGTGCTAGTGAGATTTTATGATATAAAGTGTTTTTTTAATAATATAAATTAAGACAACCCTCTAGAACAGTGAACGGAAGAGTGACCTATGCTCAGATGTTCAAAGGAGACACTATAAACACTCAATCTCAGGCCCTGCCACAAGAACCTCAACCTCGAGAATTCACAAATCAACCTCAAGATCCACATCCCTCCATCCCTGAACCTAGGTTCAATACCCAGACATACATTCCTCCTCCTTCCAATTCCACTGACCTCACACGCCTATTAACTTCTTTCCTCTCTGAATTTAGATCCCTCATCACCCCTCTTATTTCATTACTTACCAATGTTATATCCAACCTCATTCCACCGCCGAGAAATCCATAAATGTCCTCAACCAAATCCCTTTCCATTCTCCTATGGAATGCGAATGGTATTCGAAATCACATCAACGAACTGACAATCTTATTACATGACAAAAACATCGACATAGCACTAATAACAGAAACCCGACTAACCAACAAACGACAAATCAACGTTCCTGGCTACAATATTTATAGAACCGATCATCCTGATGGAACAGCACATGCTGGCACTGCTATAATTATCCACCGATCTCTCTCCCATCATTTATTTCCCTTACCAACCCATAATTTCCTACAATCCACTGCCGTAATAATCCAAACTTCCCTTTACCCAATCACATTAGTTGCGGCATATTCCCCGCCTAAAATACCCATTTCCGAATCCCAAATAATTTCCTTCCTGAATTCCTTAGGACACCATTTCATCCTAGGTGCAGATTTAAATGCAAAACACCAACAATGGCGAGCCAGATCCACAAATTCCCGAGGGCGAACACTGCTATCTGCACTTAATTCCCATCGCAGCAACATCCTTTCACCTAATACTCTCACATACTGGCCAACAGATCCCAACCGCAATCCCGACCTTCTAGACTTTTTCCTACACAAAGGTCTAGGATCATTACACTGTTCCATTTCAAGGCTTGATGATCTTTCCTCAGACCACAGTCCTATAGTCCTAACCGCTTCCACATCACCCATTCCTAAATCATCCTCTCCTTCATTTATCAGGGGACCAGTTAACTGGAACCTTTTCCGTCAAATATTGGATGATAATATAGACCTCAGAGTTTCCTTAAAAACATCTGAACACCTTGACGATGCAGTGGACTCCTTTACTACCCTGATCCAGCAAGCAGTTTGGACTGAATCCTCACCTGATCGTCCAAAAAAACACCTCAGTATAAATCCTCTACCCCAAGACCTATTGGACCTTATCCATAGCAAACGATGCTCTAGAGCCCTCTGGCAAAGAACCAGGCATCCTAATGACCGGAAATCGTATAACTATTATTCCAAACAGGTAAAAAAGAAACTGGTTATCTTTAGAACCCAATCCTACAATTCCTACCTTTCCTCATTATCATCTAGTGATAACTCCCTCTGGACTGTAACTAAAAAAATCCTTAAAGTCCAATCCATTTCCCACTCCCTCCGCCGTGATGATGGTTCCTGGGCTTCGTCAGATGCGAATAGAGCTGAAGAGTTTGCTAAACATCTATCCTACACATTCACTCCCCATCCCGAACTCCATCCCACCCACACTGCTGAAGTTAAAGAATTCCTCTCTTCACCAATTCCTCTCTCTCTACCTCCAAAACCTGTTAACCCCTTTGAGGTCAAATTCCTCATAAACAAATTAAAACCCCGAAAATCCACTGGATATGATCTCCTCACTTCACAAATCCTTAGACAACTTCCCAAAAAATCAATTATATTCCTGACCTATCTATATAATTGCATCCTTCGTACTACCAACTTTCCCTTGATGTCGAAACACTCCATAATCGTGCTGTTTCCAAAACCAGGCAAACCCGTTAATAACACATCATCCTACAGACCGATAAGTTTACTCCCTATCCTCTCAAAAATCTTTGAGAAAATCCTCCTCAAACGCATCCTACCCATACTCGAATCCCACAACATCCCTTCTCATCAATTTGGATTCCGCTCAAGACATTCCACCGTCCAACAAGGCCTTCGTGTTGTGGACCATATATCCTCTGCACTTGAAAACAAGCAATATTGCACTGGTGCCTTTCTGGATCTAGCGCAAGCTTTCGACCGGGTGTGGCACGATGGCTTGCTTTTCAAGCTCAAAACCCATTTACCCCAATCCTTATACCTTGTCCTCAAATCCTATCTCTCAAATCGTTCCTTCCAAGTCCGTTGCTGCACCGAATTCTCCACTTACTATCCAGTTGAGGCTGGTGTTCCACAAGGCAGTGTTTTGGGTCCAATTCTCTACATCCTTTTCACTGCCGATATCCCTTCAAATCCCGATACCTTCCTAGCTACATTTGCCGATGATACTGCCATTCTATCCTCCCACTCAGATCCTCAAATAGCATCTCAAAACCTACAATCTCACCTCTCCTTGATTGAGCAGTGGTGCAATGACTGGCGCATTAAAATCAATGAAACAAAATGTAAACATATTACTTTCACTCTGCGACGCAGATCCTGTCCCACAATCCTTTTCAATTCAATATCACTTCCCTACTCAGATACAGTCCGTTACCTTGGCTTCCTTCTAGACAAATGACTAACTTGGAACCCACATACGAGACTTAAAAGACAAGAACTTAACCAACGATATGGCCAGCTATATAGACTACTAAGCAGGACATCTCATCTTTCGATTGAAAATAAACTTTTAATCTACAAGACAATACTGAAACCTATCTGGACCTACGGACTTGAACTGTGGGGAACTGCTAAACATTCGAATATCAAACGCATCCAATCCTTCCAGTCCAAAGTACTTAGAACAATAGCCAATGCCCCATATTATGTCACAAATAAGACCCTACACCATGACCTTAACATCCCTTTTGTCCTCGACATCATCCCATCCAGATTCTCAAACTTTCACCAGAACCTTATCCATCATCCAAATCCTCTAGCTCAATCCCTATCCAGCTCCCACCATCCCTACAATCCCCTCGAAGGTTAAAACGGCAGTGGCCGCGAGATCTATTGTAAATATGCTTCTGGAGTCCTGGCAATGGCCAGCTTCTCCACTCAAGTCCTGAGCATCTGTGGCTCTAGTGCCCTCCTTCAGCCTCCACTGGCTTTTAATACTAGTGATGCGGCTGGAAAAGTGGCACTGGGATCTCTGGAGTCCTGCTTTGCTTTCCACATGTGGGGAGAAAAGCCTGGCTCGGAGATTCCTGGGCGAATGTATATATTGTATATAGGTATGAATGTGTTTAGAAGTTTTTATTTTATTTTGTTTATTTATTTTTTTATTTTATTTTTTATTTTTTTTTCTATTGATTTACATTTTTTTATAAGTATTATTTATTTACTTTTTATTTTTATAGTTACTTCTGTTTTACTTGTATATACTGTATGAATGAGAACTTTTAGCCTTAATACTTATAGCCCTCCAACAGTGGCTGATTGTATTATTATTCAAAAAAAAAAAAAAAAAATATATATATATATATATATATATATAAATTACCACACCACATAACTTACCTGGTATTTGTAATATTTGCGAGAAATTCCATTATTTGAGCTGCTGTAATAACACCATCTGAATCTTGATCAATAATTCGAAAAAGTTTATCCACAATCTAGAATAAAGACAAATAAAACACTATTTATTTATTAAGAATATCTTGAGTGTGAATTTGTGTGTTTTATAATGACTCATTCACACAAATGTTTGGTTTGTAGAATATTGTGAACATTGTAAAATATAACATTCTGCCACAATAATAGATAATAGCTGTAGGGAATCCAGGAGATAATTTTGAGGAGAGGCTTCAGCCCGAAAGCTTGTTTTCTTTATATATATAACGATTATTAATTTGAAAGAAAAAAGGAAGAAACTAACTATATATCTGAAATGATGTTTAAGTGATTGTTGAAGTTTTATTAAATGTAATCACACGAACAATAATATTTTTAGAGATAATTATATATATAGAGATAATAGCTCAATCGGTTGTGTTCTTTGACTATTTGTGCAAGTGGGTGCACTGCTATATGTGGATGAAAATTTAAATTATATATAAAATCAGATTATCCCTGAAGATGCCTGAAGAGGTGAAAATTTGAAATAAAGTAATTTTTTATCGAGATTGAAAATGACTTTTTCTACTGATGTTTATTTATATTTCGATAACTATCTCTTCGCTTTTAAACAATTAAAAATACCGATACATTTTTTCCAATGTTTACATCCTTAGATCAGCAGTCAACGTGTTAATTAGCAGGAATGGAATTTATGAGTCACTAAATAATGGAAGAAGTTTGGGAACTTAAAGTTTTTCAATCATTACAGTAGAAAAAGGATCATTTTACACATTTTAAAATGTTAAAAAAAGTATTATTACTTTAATAGTAAGGTACTTACGGTCATAAAAAAATATCCTCTTTAACGAACTGCAATAAACATGAAAAGAACTTATACATGAAGAAAATATATTATATTATATATATATATATATATATATATATATATATATATATATATATATATATATATATATATATATATATATAAAGACTTTATATTATTGTATAAATATCGTAGAATTAATTAAATTAAAGTTTTGTAATTTTTTAAAAATTAAATGAACATAGCTTACCCCTTTTGCTTGCAGTATTTGACAGAACTTATCTAATGAAACTTTGTCATCACCACAAAGAACATATGCGACACTTTCCAGCTGTTCAGCCAAATCGATTTGCTTCTCGTCCCTGTGCAAATGAGTCAAAATATATATTTATATATGTTTAATAGTGTAATTCAATTCAATTATTGATAAGTTGGTTAAATATACCAAGTTAATTAACAGCTTGTAAGTCATGCATTTAATTTAACTGAGTACAATTCTCCTATCAATCAATTTTTTTCTGTCTGGTTTTACCGAAAATGTAGTTGTCTGACAATAATATTTTATTGTAAGACTAAAGTTTCCTTGAATGAATAATAAAAATTTTCAGGTAATGCGTACCATTAGCCTGACAGGATATTTACAGATTGGTATTAGTAATTAAATTATAACTTTTATTAGATTATGTCCATAGAATATAATAAACCTGAAAAAAAAAAAAACTGTAACACTACAAGCCATATGTGTGGGATTCAGTTCTTACAAGGAGTGGTTATAGACGTCGTGTCATCGATTTCAATATAACTTTATCTGGCGATACTAGGTCGAAAAATTTTAGACCTAAGTACGAGGATTCTAGTCAATGAGCCATAGGAGTCGAAAAGAAAAAAATGTAAACATTTATTTATATTATTATTTTCTGCCTTTGTTCTGTATGAGTTTCTACGTTATAATATATCAATCGATTAGCTGTTTTTTAAATTTAAAATCAAAAAAACATATTGCTGATGTAATGTAATGTAATGTATGTAAGGAAAACAAAAAAAAAAAAAAAAAGATAATAAGAAAATCAATATATGGGAAGTTTTTATTATTCATGTTAAGTTTTACATCCAAGAAGTTTTTTTTGATCTTTTAAGAAAACAGTTTCTAAAAAACAATAAAAAAATAATTATTTTTATGTGATTTTTTATTGATTGGTTAAACGTTTTTATAAAATGAAATGTTTATGATAAATAATTTTATTAAAGTTGTTCATTTTGAATGAGAACCATATTTATTTTTTAATATTAGTAAGATTAAGGTTTTAAATAAATTATAATATCCCCTCAAAAAAAAACTTTTTATAATTTTTTTTTGACGTTTCGGCCAATTAGACAATCTCAACTTTTTTTTTACATTTTTGGTGTTCCATAGTTAACATGCAACATATCAATCGATGTAGTACACATCAAAGATAAACAATATGTTTACAAAAATAAATAAATGGTAATGAAATGTGACGAAAAGAAAACAATTAAACAAGTATATTTCGTAAACAAAAATATTTTATTTTTCTTTACATTTTATTTTTAGAGTGGTAAGCATATTTAGCTTGAATGGTGATTATGGAACAGCAAAAATGAAAAAGTTTTAAATGGTTCAAATTAAATGGGCGAAACGTCTCAAAATTAAGTGAAGTTAAAAATGATATTTTTTTTTCATTAAAAAGATCTTTTATTAAGAAATTGTGTTTTAAGAATTTTGTGATCTATTTAGAAACTTAAAAATTAGATTTTTACTTTAATATTTTATCTTGGTTGCCTTAAACAAAAAGAAAAAAAAAAGATTTATTGATGAAACTTTATGAAGTGATCTTTTAGAAACTACGTTAATAGAAAAGTAAACTTTACGAATGATGCCATTTATACATGAATGTAAAATAAATAATAATAATTTCTTAATAATAATTATAGATGAAATTTAAACGTTTCAATTATAATTGATCTATAGATCTAAAAAATTTTATGTTAAAAACTGTCCAATCTTATAATGTCAAGTTGAATGTAGAAGGGCGGATTAAGAAAGTTTCCCTTGAGCGGAAAAAAATTTCGGAAATAAAAAAAAAAGGAAACGATGAAATAAAATAAGAAACAACAACAGTAGTGTTAATATTTATTTATTGAGACGATTTGCATCTTTTGACCATTGTAGTTGGAATAATTAATGAGAATTATCATAAAAGTTAAAAGTATTTATTAAAAGAATCTTGAAAATAAAAATAACTTACGTAAGACGCTCTTTTAAAAATTCAATCCACGTGTCCTGAACCAAAAGTCCATCCCCATCTGTGTCGAATAACTCAAAAAGCCTCGAGAGTAATTCCTGTGAAAAACAGGGAAAGTGAAAGAAATATATATTAGTAAATTATTCTAAATAATAAAAAGAAATGTTATATAAATATTTTGTGAATAGGTTTTTAGACTATAGGGAATGTAGGGGGGAACATTTAAAGAGGTAATACAATAGCTCAGGAGCTACAAACAGTTCATATAACTAATGGGCAGATATTTGAGCAGATAAGCCATGAAATTAGTTTTTATTTTATATTTTAAGGTCACATTTTTTAATTGAATAAGAAACGATAACTAAAAAAACGTTTAATTTAAGTAATTAAAAATTGCTTCTCAGTAAACTATAAAAAATTACTTCAAACTCAAGTAGGCTTTGTCGTTGTTTAAACCATTTAAAGAGGATTTTTGAGCATCTAAACTAAGCCAAGATTTTTCAAATATTTATCATCTTATAGTGGATTGATGGTTGACTGTAGTGAATAATTAAGGAGAAGTTGTTTGGGATATTCAGTCAAAAACAAATAAAAATAAATAAATTATATTTATTTTTATTTTTGCCGACGTTTCGGCCCATAGTTCAGGCCTTTATAACGGCTAAGAAAAAAACAGATAACAATAGGTATGAGAAACCATTTGTTTAGGTATTTCCTAATAAAACACTCACTGATAATTTTTACACTTTTAATTACCAAAACACATTACATTATAACCAACAAAGGCAGTAAGTACCACATGGTACAGCAATCTACATAAGGTTAAACTCAATCTCTTATAACACATCCAGAGGTTATAATAATTAACACACAGAGGTTCAAAAATAATCGATTTTATAATAAATTATGTTTTCACTTTAACACCTTCCTTCATAATTTCTTTTAAAATAATTTAAACTAATAAATTGAATATAATACACAAATAGAATTTTTAAGTCAGTCCTAAATCTTTATTTAGCTTCTTCAGTCTAGGGCCTAGCACAGGCTTTGTTAACCCGTCGGCAAGTTGATATGCAGTATCCACTCTCCGGATATGAATTTCTCCCTCTTGAACCTTTTCTCTGACAAAGAAGTGGCGAATGGATATATGTTTTGTACGTTTGTGCCACACAGGGTTCTCTGCTAATTTAATGGCAGCATTATTATCGACAAAAAGCGTACCTTCTTTAAAGTCAGTCATCTCTTGAAGAAGCCTTTTGAGCCAAACCATTTCTCTTGTACCCTCACTTGCAGCGATGACCTCAGCTTCAGTGGTAGAGATGGAAACTGAACTCTGTCTTTTACTCGACCAAGATACGACACCACCCGAATACAGACAAGCAATGCCAGTTGTAGACCTGCCAGTTAATTTGTCACCACCAAGATCTGCATCAGAGTAGCATTGAAGAATTCCGCTTCTATGGTTTTTCTTGTACATTATTCCAAGTTCAGAAGTCCCTTTTAAATAACGGAATATTCGTTTGACCCTGGTTATGTCACTATCGGAAGGATTATCAAGTGTTCTTGAAGCTATGTTGATGGAATAAGCAATATCCGGTCTTGTACATATCATCAAATACATAAGTGAACCCACAGCTTCTCTATATTGAAAATTCGTTGTCTTGATGTCCACATGTTCTTTTTCATTGTCTAAATCATCCTTTAAAATTGGAGTACTAACATGTCGACACTCATCCATCTGGAATGTTTTGAGAAGTCTCCTAATGTAAGAAGATTGAGTTATTTTTATACCTTCCTTGCTCCTGTTAATCTCTAGTCCAAGATAGAAATCAGCTGGTTTAGTCTTGATTTTGAACTCCAGTTTTAATTTGTCTAAGAGCTCCATTGCTTCCCTTTCATCCGAAGCAGCGATCAATCCATCGTCAACATACAAACACAACAAAATCCTCTTACCATTCACATCTTTGATAAATAGGCAAGGATCTGCTGTACTAATTTGAAAACCAATGCTAACCAGGAAATTTTTTATCTTCTCGTTCCAACAACGTGGAGCCTGTTTGAGCCCGTATAGGCTTTTATGTAATCTGCAAACCTTCCCTGAGTTGTCACTGAAGCCTTCTGGTTGCTGAATATAGATTTCCTCCTTGAGTTCTCCATTTAAAAATGCAGTCGATACGTCAAACTGATGCAGACTCATATCTTCATTGGCAGCAATACTGATTACTGTTCTGACAGTGGTTTGACGAGCAACTGGACTGAAGGTTTCTCCAAAATCTTGACCTTTCTTTTGTGCGAATCCTTTTACCACTAGCCTAGCTTTATATCTTTCTAAATTTCCATCAGGTTTATATTTCTTGTTGAAAACCCATTTTGAAGGAATAACTCTCTTATTTTTAGGCAAATCACAGATAGTCCACGTCTTGTTCTCTTTTAAAGAAGTCATTTCTTCTTCCATGGCTTTTTGCCACTCCTCAGCTTCCTCACTGTTCATCGCACCGTACAAGTCCAATGGCACATCTTCACTCCCTTCGACGATGTTGACATAATCATCCATAAATTTAGGTTTATTAATTTTATCCTGACCTCTCAGATTTACGCCTCTTTTCCACACTATATCTTCTATTTCTGGATCTTCATTTTCTTCTTCATGAGATTCCCCTTGATCTTCCAAAGGTATTTCTTCAGATTCTCCTTCTTCTTCCAAATATTCTTCCGGATTCTCTTCACAATATATGTCAATACCTTTTCCTTCAATTTTATGAAATGACAATTTTTCACATATCGGTGCTTTGAGTGACTCCTGGAATATGACGTCTCTTGATCTAATTAGTTTATTATTTGAGAAGACTCGGTATCCATTGTCACCATCATATCCAACAAGTACTCCTTGAGTAGCCTTTTTATCAAATTTTCTTCTATTTTCTTTAGGAACATGGACCCAACATTTGCATCCTATAACACGAAGATTTTTGACTCCTGGTTTAATACCCATCCAATGTTCAAATGGGGATTTTCCTTTTTCTGATGATGGACCTGTTCGATTTAATATATAGGCTGAAGCGTTAATCATTTCTGCCCATAGCTCCTTAGGTAGAGATTCTTCTCCTGAGTGCATGAGGGCTCTTGCAGTTTCTACAATGGTGCGGTTTTCTCTCTCAGCGCAGCCATTTTGTTGTGGCGTGTATGGCATAGTGTAACTAATTTCAATACCTTTTGATTTAAGGAAGTTTTCTACTCTTTCATTTTTAAACTCTCCGCCATTGTCACATCGAATGCACATTACTTTATGACCTAATTGGGTAACTTCAGCTAAAAATTCCTTCAATTTTTGAAATACTTCATCCTTGGTCTTAATAAAATAAACTTTTCTAAATTTTGAAAAATCATCCTTAAATACCAGAAAATATTTAAAACCACCTTTCGAAGGGATAAAGGGACCGCATACATCAGTGCTTATAACTTGACCAGTTTTCTCAGCTCTTTTCCGACGCCCAAACTTGAGTCTATGAGCTTTTCCTTTTATGCAGCCCTCACAGAGTTCACCATCAAGAGTTAAGTCTAAATTGAGTTCTCTTTTAACTACTTCCTTCACATGTCGTTTGTTTTGATGACCCATCCTTTCATGGTAAAGCTGTAATAAATTATGGTCTTTGATAGGAGCAGATATATAGTTATTTTCTGACTTACAGCTCTCCGTTGTGGGTACCACCCTAATTGCTAGATTATAGAGACCACCTCCAATTTGACGATTCCCTGACACAAGTGTCTCTTTGCCTTCAAATAATTTACAGCTAACTGCAGTGGATTCAAATTTACTCTGTGGTCTATGATCTTGAGCCGCCAAAAGCGAAAAAAGATTCTTGGAAATACCTGGAACTAGCCAGACATTAGTGAGTTCAAAACTCTTCCACTGGCCGTTGGACGCAGCTTCAATTAAAATAGATCCCTTGCCCAGCGCCTTGACTTGAGAGCCATCAGCCGTAATAATTACATGGTCATCTGTAAATGATTGAAAACTTGTGAACCATTCCCTTCTGCTACATATGTGATGTGTCGCTCCATTGTCCACATACCAAGCCTCACTATTGGTCTCCGATGCAAAAACTTCTGAGGTAACTGTTAATAGAGTTGCAGCTTCGCTTGAATTGTTTTGAGCACATTTAGCTTTAGCAGGCTTAGGCGGTTTGCCATCGGCAAGCCAAAGCCGACATCTCTGAACTGTGTGACCCCTTTTATCACAGTAGTGGCAAATTATTGAGGTTTTGTGAAAATTATTTTTATTCCGAACATGCTTCTGAAATTGAGCAGTGGTCCCCTTAGCAACCAAAACTTCTTCTGAACAGCTATCACCCAGGTTGCTCTCAAAAGTACATAATTTTTGGGTAAGATTATTTAAACTCCTGTTCTCTTCATTTATTAGTCTCCATCCAGCAGTAAAAGATTTGAATTTGTCAGGAAGGGATTTTAAAATTTTACATATTAGTAAAATATCTTTATTATCAACAGTTTGCTTATCAATTTCCCCTCGCAACTGTTTCCATGCATTGGAAATTCTAGTAATGAATGTAACAGCGTCATCATCTGGCAACCATTTACTTTCAAAAAATTTATTATACAAGTCAAAAATTCTGTCTTCTGAAAATGTATCAAAAAGTTGACAAAGTCCCAACCACATATCTCTACTAGACTCATGACGTCTTACCTTTTCAAACATCTCCTCTGTCATGTTATTGGACACAACTAGTAGTGCCTGGTTGTCAATTTTATTAAATGTAGCTAAATCTGTTTCATGAGCTTTCACAGCATCGTTATCAGTTTTATCAGGGGCTGCAGGACACTTGTAAGTTCCATCTATTATTTCTATTGCCCTAGGTATCATTTTCAGTCCCATTCTTATTTTTACCTTCCAGTTTTCCCAGTTGCCCTTCCCTTCTAACAGAGCAATCTGAGGAATCATAATTGATTTGGACTCCATAATTAAAAAGAGCGTACCTCAGAACACAGAACACTAACGTCTTTACAAATCGTCTTTTCAAATCTTCATTTAGTTGTTTACTTCTATTCGAATTTTCCTTTTAACATCATGCTGGACCCATAACCTGTTTAG